CAGACTATATTATATAAATACACAGCCCCTGTATTCAGTTAAAAATAATCATACAGAGTACATAGTCTTCCTCATTCCAGAAGCTTCAATCATTGTTTCATGACATTCACTAGAAAATAAGGCACAAAGTTGTTTTGGAACATTAGCATTCCAAGGCAGCTATCATCCATTTTTAACTTCATAAAACATTATGTGGGGTGGACGAATATGACAAATCTCAAACTGAGAAACTTGTCTGAAACATTCATGACATATGAAAGGAGACATGAGAATAGTGTGAATTTTTGTCAATCATTCTCTCCAGCTGTGTCTAAAGGAAATAATTAACAAGTTAACAATTTTCCTTCAACTGGGGAGAGACCAATAAAAGTGTGCAATATATAGCCACTGTGGGGAAAATGGGAGTATAGAACAGTAACCCAAAGAGAAAATCCCACAACCTACCTGATGCAGATACCAGTAATACAGCTGTGGTGCCTAGATGCTACAGTGATTGGTATCTCATCTGTATATGGCACCCCATAAATATCTAGGATAGGATGGAATACCAAAGTATGACTCTGGAGAAGATGAAAATGCTGTGCATGTGCTGCTAATTAAGAAAGCTGGCAAGGAGAGGGCATACTCAGAAGAACTCATTAAAAACCCAGGTTTAAAATGCCAACAGTGACATAGGCCAGACATACCCAGAGTCAGGATCTTTAGCAGATACAATTACTGTTATTTTGTATGTATACATTACCTGCAGCAATTTCCTGATTAATGAGCTGGACTTGCAAATTGAAGACTTGTTCATGTACTTTACTGTGCGACAGTTTCAGTTTCTCTCTTCTGCTCACCATGTAGCAGAGATTCCTTACCTATAGTAAAAAAACCCAGAGATTTTAGAATTTTCTCTTTTTTTAAAAAGTGGTCAAGAATATTACATTAACATTTGAATTCTTGAACAAAGCATCTTCACACACGTAAAGCCCTATAATAGAAAAGCCATAGTGAATTTTATAGAATCATATGCAACTATAAGCCAAGTATTTTTAATTGCAAAGATTTAAAAAGAAAAAAAATTAAAGAAGATGCTAAAAGCGATCTGCAAATCAGTTGGTCAAATTCCCATCTATATTAGCAACAAGTGAACAAATAAGCAGGTTAAAAGAAGAGCCATCAAGCAGATTTTAGAACTCCCATTTTTCTCTCGTAAATCCCACACCACATAGTCCATTCAGATCACCAGCTGCTACTCTGGTACATTACTCCAGCTGCTACAGCACTTGTGTGGGGTCGGCCTGCAGGAAGGCTGATCGGTACTTTTATTTTTAAATACAGCCATATTGTGTTTTTCTGAAGTTACTGCAATTTTATAAAGTAATACATTGTACAAAAACATACAATAGTTTGTTTTTCTTAACAGCACACTTACCATGTTAGGAAACCATACTGACATGGGGATTTCATGAATCTTACTTAAGATTCAAGTTAAGGATGACCCCCGAGTCAGTCTGGCTATTAGGCCTCTTAGCTCTCATATTGCTGAAATGTGACAGAGTGACTTACAGGTCACCTTTAAAATGATGCTCTCAGTTCCCACCCAATTTTGAAAGGCTTTCGGAATTAGTCCTTTTGGATAATCACTTTAATAGTTTGATTTGGGGGGGGAAAGGGATTTAAGACTATTCCAGGGGTTATAGCCCTCTGCTTTCACTCACTCATTTACGTGAATAGCAACATTTCCACCCACTATAATGGTAGCAGAACCAGGTGCTAAATCTCTTGATAAAGTGTCAAAAATGTTGTGGACACAGACAGCTTGTGTTCTGTTGAACAATATTTGCTGAGTGTTTCCCCTGGCACACAATTAGACCTGTTCAAAAAAAGAATTTGTCCTATAAGAAACCCCAACATTTGTTTTAATCCCAAAATGAGACAAAAAGTTGAAATATTCCACAAAAAATTGTCAATAAGTTCAGAAAATTTTGTTCTCATTTCAAAATGTCACCACATTCAAAAAATTCACTGTGAAGAGTTTTCCTGTAAAAAAATAAAATTGTAAATTTGTGCTGAAATCAACACCACAGTTGTTTCTGGTGGAAGTTTACACATTAGTTCTCGGACTCTGACGTCAAGGGACTTTTCAGACAAAGTTGGACATAATATACTTCTGATTTCATCAGAATAAAGTTGAAAAAAGCATTACAAGAAATTTTAAGCACAGCATTTAAGGCAAGAACCTTGCTCACCTACAGGTATGTAGTCAAAAAATCTTTACCATCCACTCTTACCCTTTCTAGATCCTGCCTCAAGTGCATGAACATCCTCATGCGGGTATGAATGCTGTCTTCCTTTGGCTGCACCAAGCCGTTTTCTTCATCCTCCTTGGGAGGAAACAATGGTTTGTTAAGGTTACTTTTCCGCTTTAATTTCCAGTAATTATAAATGAAGTCCACAGCAATTTTAGGAAGGCCCAGTTCTGCTGCAACGTCTTCCACTTTAACTAATGAGTAGAACTCCTCCTCCAGCTCTCTCAGTTTCTGAGCACGCAAACTAGTTTTCTCACTCTCTGTTTGCTTCTGGTCTGCCATGCTCTTGGGGTTCTCATCAACGTCAGGCACCGAATTCTGCTTGTTTTTGCTATGCTTTAGGCAGTACGACTTGAACTTGACCTCATCCCCATCGTCCAAAATGGCCTTCATCTCTAGGCTATGCTCAAAGGCACAGGTGACATGAAAGGCAGTGATGCAGCTTTTCACAGAGCACTATGAGTGAAACACTAGAGTCAGCCAATAGTAGCAACGAAAGGAGAAAAGGACCAAGGAATGCTTAAGTTACATAAAACCCACCCCTTTAAATAAACTTTTCCATGTTATACTTAAAAATGTAATGAGCCTTAGGTACTCCTCAGCTGAGAAACTGAAGGCTAAGTTTCATCCCAAAGCAAGTCAATTCTTCCACATTAAAATCCCATAAATAATAAGTGTGTGTTATAATAGAAACTGCAATTTAATCTTAAGTAGGGAAATTCAAACTTATAAATATTTAGTACATCTTAGATCTGAGTAGATGACAAAACCAAATCTGAGCGGAATTAGGTTATTTGGCTAACAGTTCCAGTATTTTCTACCTCTGATTTCACAGAACCTATAATTACATCCTGTTTCAAAAGGAATGCAAGTTTAGAACTTTTCTTCTTCTGTGAGTAAGATGTTAAATTGAAGACACTTCTGTCCATCTCTGGCAATTATCCACTTGGTAGTTAAACATCCCATAGCTTTATTCAAAGGCAGTTCTTTGTCTTGATCAGGACACTAGCTCAAGAGTTCCCCCTTTTTTTTTCCTTCCCTTTTTCTTTTCCTGAGCCCACTTCAGAGATTCAGGTCCATGCACACACCCCTCTTTCTAAGAGACAGGGCAGGAAGGTGTGCCTGGTACCCAGGAGTCCAAGGGCAGGAGGTGCCTTTCTTGCTCCTCCCCACACAAGGGAATTGAACAGGGCAATGCTGAAGGGCTAGGGTCAGCCAGGGAGTGGAAGGTTGCATCTAGTGAGTGCTGATCCAGCCCCCTCCTGACCCTGTGAGCCCTTCAATGTGGCCCCATACACTTCTCTGCGCAGGCTCTGTACGGCAGGGGAAGCAGACAGGGCTCTGTGTCCCCAGGCCACACTGAAGGACTGATGGGTTCAGGAGGGGGCACTGTTAGTACTCCCCAGCTACACCCTTCTGGTCCCCTGCCAGCCTCCTCGGCAGAGTAGGGTAACTGCCGGTTTGTGGCTGCTGCAGCAGTGAAAGAGCAAGATGGACAGGGAGACTAGTCCCAGTAGCTGGG